AAGAAGGGTGGGGTCTCTAGAATTCCAAGAAGAGACAACTTAGAAAATGCAGTTAGGAAGTCACTGGCTACCCTGGAGAGCAATATTTCTTTCTTTTTTGGCAGGGGGGTAGGACTGGGGTTTGAACTTAGGGCTTCACACTTGCAAAGCAGGCTCTCTATCACTTAAGCCAAGCCTCCACTACATTTTGGTTTGGTTATTTTGGGGATGGCGGTCTCACTGCACTATTTACCAGGGCTGGTCTTGAACAGTGGTTCTCCTGTCTCAGCCTCACAAGTAGCTAGGATTATGGGCGTGAGCCACCACCAGTATCTGGCTAAGTAAGTTTTGAAGATGCAAGTTTGGAGTGTAGAGATACAAGAAATGACTAGGTTGTGGAGGAAAAAAAAAAAAGAGTAGTCAAAGCTGTTCTTACTAGTCTCATGAATGGTAGACAGAGACGGGAGTACTATACAATATATAGGTGTCTTCCAGACAGAATATAGTTATGCATACTATATTGGAAATTAGAGACAGGAACCTGTAAGTAAGAAAAACATATTCATTTATGTAATTCCCAGTGTGTTTAGTTTTGCAGAGTGAAATTTTAAGTTTTATTAGGTATAGAATCTTGATCCTGTAATGAGGCTCTACTGCCCCCATGTGGTGTAGAACACCCAGGAGCTTCATTCTAAACTGCAAGTTGCAGTAAACATTTTCGACTTTGAGGAGCACATAGTCTTTGCCTCAACTACACAACTGTAGAGAGAAAGGAGCCACAGATCCCTCTTTGAGGGAGCCGTGCAGACATGGCCATGGCTGTAGCAGAATCTTGGTCCATTAGCTCCTGCTCTTGATTCCCAGATGTGGCTTTTAAAAATATGGGAAAGACTAGTGGAAGAAGAGGTGGTCATGAACCAAATTAAAACTGCCCTAACCAACCACAACGGAAACCTCCAGTGTGCAGCCTTGATCAGAGGGGCACAGGGAAGAAATTCTCAAATTGTAAGGACCAGTTCATATCTCTTCAAGATTCTGAATATCAAGCCAGAAGCTGGTGACTTCTTCCTGTAATCCTAGCTACTCAGGAGGCAGAGATCAGGAGGATGGAGGTTTGAAGTCAGCCCAGGTAAACATTCATGAGACCCTATCTCAAAAAAACCCAACTCAAAAACAGGGCTGGCAGAGTGGCTCAAGTGGTAGAGTGCCTGCCTAGCAAGCATGAGGCCCTGAGTTCAAACCCCAGTATCGGGTGGGGAAGGAGGGCAGGGGGGAGAAATGACTCAAACAATGTATGCACGTGTGAATAAATGAATAATTAAAAAAAATCCAGTATCACCTCCCCAAAAAGAAAATGATTCTGAAAATCAGCATGAGAAAAACTCCTGTGACGTATGAAGGGCCTAATACTCAGCAAAATTCAAGCTGATTCATAGAAGAATCCAGATGAGAACCCATGAGGCTACTGACTGGCTCTGTTGCTTCTCAGCTTGTTAAATGGCTTTTTTTTTTTTTTTTTTTTTGCAGTACTGAGGCTTGAACTGAGGGCCTTCAGCTTGAGCCACTCCAACAGCCCTATTTTTGTGAAGGGTTTTTTGATATCGGGTCTTGCGAATTATTTGCCCTGGCTGGCTTCGAACCGTGATCCTCCTGATCTCTGCCTCCTGAGTAGCTAGGATTACAGGTATGAGCCACCAGTGCCTGGCAAGTGGATTACTTTTGACAAAACTAAGCCAGGTGTGAAAGCTAAAGTTGTTCTATCAATTTTAATAAATTCTCAGTTGTTACAAAAGAAGAAAGTAGCCACAGATAAAACACAAATGAATAGGCCTGTCTGTGATCCAATATAATTTTATTTACAAAAACAGGTAGGGATCAGATTTGGCCTGGAGCCTATGAATTACCTGCCCTTGATGTAAACTCATGGTTTCCAATATATGGGCTGAACCATGAAATTACCTAGGGATCAGTTTTTTCAAATGTAGGTGCCCTGAATCTTTGGGTATGAGGCCAGGTCACCTGTTTTTATAAAGTTCCACCAGGGTGACTGCTATGTAGTACTGCTGAATCAACGCTTCATCTGACTCATTTGAGTGCTTCTAGTTGTAAGCGTAGCTAATATTCATTTGCTTAGTACGTGCCAGGTACTGATCGAAGAGCTTTCCATACACTTTCTCATTTAATCCTCACAGCTCTATGAACTGGGGACCATTATGATGCCCATTCCATAGATTAAGAGACTAAGTAATTTTGTCAAGTAGCTGTTAACAGGAAGAGCAGTGATTCAAACTTAGACATCAGCTGCTAAAGCCTGAGATTCCACTATCATTAACTGAAAAATGCTCAGCATCCACCTGAACTTAGCCAGAGAAACTATTTTTACCATATATTTTAAATAAGGCTTATAAAGTTAGTCATAATGACTTTCCCCCAGATTTAATTAAAGTACATTTTCTCATGCCACTGAATTCTTAACTCTAAATCAGATTCTTCTCAGACCTTGTCCACAGCTTTGGTACATCACAGAAATTCATAGAAACACAGCAGCTTGTTTTTACAGGTTTTCTCTGTCTTAGTAACTGTTTGACTCTACACCTGCTTGGGAGATTACTTTTATAGGTTATTAATCAAAGGTAAAGGCTTACTATAATTTTCTTCTTTTGTAGATGTGACATAGTGTAGTGGTTTTAGATATGGTCATTAAAGACAGTCTTCAGTTTAAATTCTGGCCCTGCCACTTTCGGGCTAAGTACTCAATAAACATCAGCTAGTCTTCTAGCATTTTAATCAACTGGAATGGCTGTCTTGCTTTTGACTCCCTCCCCCAGAAATCTAGTTTCATGAAGTAGAAGCAAAAAGTAATTGGACACCTAAGATGTCTTGTTATTTACCACAACTTTAACTATCCCTACCACAATAATAATAGGTGACACTTATGGAGTGCTTACTGCATGCTTTTTATTTCAATAACTCTGTGAAGCAGGTGTTACCAGAAATTTATAGGCAAGGGAACTGAAGCCTAGAGCAGTTAACTTTTCCACGTAGACAGTAAGTGGCAGAGACAGGTTTTGGACCTGTCAGTAAACCTGATTTAATTTGCACTCTACGGTTTTCAGATACTGCTTCATGTTATTAAACGGCCTCCAATAGGAAATTTCACTGTCATGAATTTCTTCAAATTAGAAGGATTAATTTTAGGATGTCTCCAAAGCAATGGTTCTCAGGTTTTAGGGTTTCACAAGCCATTAAAATTCAACCAAAGATTCTGACAACCAATACAGATTTGCTAAATTTAAAATTTGACAAGGATCTTAAAAGGCAACTACTCCCACCATAATTTATAATTTGCACAAAATAAAGGACAATTTAATACCAAACAGTAGGATGGACATAATCTAGAATGATAGCACCCTAATACTACATGTATTGATATATTTTCCTTACATTTCTTGCTTTATTGAGGAGTAAGATTTTAGAACATTCTCTTTCCACCTTCTTCCTGATAGGTTAGGCAACTTATATTTACATATAATAGCAATTTTAGTAACTTTTACAATTTGTCTTTCTAGGAACAACATGTATCATTGGGTCTGGAAATTAACAGTGGCATTAATTGAAAGTATTCCTTTTTCATAAAAGAAGGAATCAAAGATCAATGTCTTTTGTTCCACGAAAGTGGCCAAATGACTTGAGTCTGAGAGGCCTTGCTTGCTGAAGATCTTCTCAGTCAAATGTTTTGGGAACTAACACTTCTTTTATTTCAATGCATTAAAATGAGAGAACCTTTCAATTAAAACCCTTGTTTTCTTGTTTTCAGTAGTGTATTAATAGGACCTATGTCTCTTACATCTTTGATTCCCTTCAAAGTCCGATTCTGTGTTTTCAACAGAGTACCACATGAGCAGAAATCTACATGCACGAAAGCCTCATGAATTTTTTATTGATAATGTGAAATGAGAAGACTCAGTGCTTACCATCTGTACTTTGAACCTAACTACAAACATGAATTATGTATATGTGGAAAATTATTTGAAACAATTCCCGTTTAGTTAATATTCTATTGGACCTTTGTTTCTCATTATAATTTTAGGTAAGTTAAATTAGGTATTTTATGATTATAAACAATTACGTTTCGCTTCAATTATAATTCCTAGTTGATTCAAGCCTATTAGCTCGACCCCTAGATGTAGTGTTTCATGATGCTAATAAGCCAGTCGTTTGCTCCTAATGAACTTTTGTGTACAGTAGCTAATTAGATCAAAATGGAGCCTCCTTCCAAATTCTTCGGGTGGCACTTTAAGGAGGTGTCCGGCAGATGGGATGCTACCATTTCTCAAGCTAGGGCCTGTCACTCCTAGGAAGCTGGAAGAAGTTACAAGGATAAAAAAACCCTTAACCCAGGACTTCATAATATACAGGAAAGATGGTATTCTTTCCTCACCGATCCTTGTGGAATTTTGCTTGGGGGATGGTAATAACTGAAAAACTGAAGCACCCCTTCCCCAATTTGAGAATTCAGAAATCCACACATTCATAAAAAGGAATTTCAGTCAAGACTCTTATACACCCACATAGAAATAGCAAGAGCACAGTCTACGCGGCCTGAGTGCTGGAGACATAACACACAACCTGATCATGTGCTTTTGGGTTCTGAAGCGGACCTGGAGACTGGGCAGCGGCGTAAGCAGGAAGCATCCGGGACACCAGGATGTAAACTTAAATCAACGCGGGTGTGAGTGCCGCGTCTGACACCACCCATTTTGTTTTTATGCAGTTCACATCGCCTATTTTTGCCTCTGTTGGCTGTGTTTTGGTGTCATAACCAAGAAATAAAACAAGGCGAAAACAAGAACAACTCGCAGAAGAGCACTGGACACTTCTGGAAACCAAAGCCAGCTTGAGCTGAGGACGCCGGGTGATGACGTATGCCAAAGCCCGGCGGTGATTGGTTGTCGAAGTGGAGCGTCGGCCGCCAACGGGGCCCGGCGCCCTAGGCTAGTCATCGCGAGAGCAGCGGCCTAGGGTGCGGGATGGCCGCGGAGCCGGGCGGAGCTGGCCTCTGGCTCCCGGAGCCGGTTCTTCCGCCCGAGACATGGCCCGGGGTCCCGGCCCTCTAGGCCGGCCTCGCCCAGACACAGTCGCCATGCCCAAGAGAGGAAAGCGACTCAAGTTCCGGGCCCACGACGCCTGTTCGGGGCGAGGTGGGTCGGGGGTGAGGACGCTGCAAGACCTGGGGCTGGCGGCTGGGAGGGGGCTGGACCGCCGGGACCGAGCGCTTCTCTGCCGGAAGGGAAGGGCGGCTGGGCTGGGATCCCGGAGTGAGGAGGTCTGGGTGGGGAAGACCCTGGAGAAAAGGCCTCTACCTGGAGGCTTGGTGCTGTGTTTCAGTGACCGTGGCGGATTATGCCAACTCGGATCCGGCAGTCGTGAGGTCTGGACGGGTCAAGAAAGCCGTCGCCAACGCTGTTCAGCAGGAAGGTAGGCTTCTGGCGAGTCAGAACGAGGCGCTTTATTTTCCTGGAATTTTATTTCGGTGTTTTTCCTGCAGTCCTTTGGGCGTCTTTCCATAAATGTGTTTGCTCTTCTCACTGTTTGCTCTCATCTCCGGGGGAGGGGTGGGAGGAGGATTAGCCAAGACTGGCAGTTTCTGTGCCTGAAATACTGTGTTTCTGTCCTTGCGTTAAAACCAAACCAGCCCAGCTTTGTGTAATCATCACTAGTTTCCACTGCTTCTTCCTGAGTATTAATTTCTTTCGGTAGTTGATATGTATTTTACTCTACAGTTGGCTTCCTCATGTAATCACCTTGACGTGTTCCTTTCCTCTTCTGGTGTTTCTCTTGCTTTCGAGCTTTTTACTCGCTGTCCCCTGAAGCTTTTGTTTTATGACACTTCTGTCTCCAGCTCAGGAACAGGGTTAAATCGGATCCACTTCTTCTCAAACATTGCTCCTCAGAGTTTCTGTAAACGAGAATAGAATTCATCTTTATTATCCTGTGAGGATCACAGTGAATGAGTTGTGCCTTTCCTTTATTTTCAGGGCTGAAGTTGGCACTTTTAAGGAGTCAAGTTTTTGCAGCTTTGAAGTCACTTTGCCAATTACTTTCCAAATTTTTGTCATTAAAATGCTAAAATTCCGTTTTATCTTGGTTATAGGTTCTCAGCTTCCTCCAGCAGTCTGTCTCACATGGCTCCCCACCCCTTCCCTGATAGATGGTGATATCTTGGCTAAGGTGTTTGCACTTCTGGGTGGGACTGTGTGCCATCTCATTCTTTTCTTATTTTCTTCTAGTAAAATCTCTTTGTGGCTTGGAAGCCTCCCAGGTTCCTGCAGAGGAAGCTCTTTCTGTGGTTGGTGAGCCTTGTGACATTGACAGTAGTGATGAGATGGATGCCAGGAGGAAAGCATCCACAAGAGAACCATCTCCAGAAAAAAGAAAAGCAAGAGGCACAAAGGTACAGGCTTATTAGTCCTGTCTGTGGTGATAATTGAAGTTGTCATTTTCTCTGCATAAGGGGAGATTGAAGCAGTGAGGAACCAGGGTTTGGCGCAAACCAGGCTTTCAACTAAGATATTGATAATGAGACAGTAGCTATTAATACACTTGGCTTTTTTACTTTGTCTACATTTGAGGGAAGAGTCATAAATTTCTGGACCTGTGAACTGGACTGTACTAACCATTTATTGAGAGCATGTCATTATCAGGTAAAAACTTGAGTTTCTGGATTTCTTAATGTGTAAGGAAGCAGAGGTGTGAAAAAATGTTTCCCCGAGTATGTGGATTATACACAACCATTTTTATTTCGGATAAAATTAGATGTTATCATGGGCTTTCAAGTACTCTGCAATTATAATGGCTACTTTATGTCTTAATAGGCACTATGAAAATAGAAAAGTGTATGATGTTTAATCTTAATGGTGATAAGATACAAAAGAAACAAAGAAAAATAAACAAATGGTATATAATGTGCCACACAATCATTTTGATTCCCATGTTTTGTTCCAGAGTCAATGAATCAGAATCTGTTGGGGTGGAGCCCATATCATCTTTTGTTTATGAGGTTTGAACTCATGGCATCATGCTTGCTAGGCTCTACCACCTGAGCCATTCCTCCAGCACTTATTCTGTTTGTTTTGGAGCTAAGGTTTCACTTTTTGCTGAGGCCAGCCTGGACTACTATCCTATTGTAGACTTCCCACTGTAGCTGGGATGACAGATATTGTGCAACTGTGCCCTGCCTTTTTTTGTTGAGGTGGGGTTTTGTGAACTTTTTTGCCAGAGCCTTGGAACTCTCATCCTCCCAATCTCAGCCTTTTGCATAATTGGGATGACAGGTGTGTGACACTGTGCCCAGCTGTTGATTGAAAAAGGGGTCTTGAGAACTGCCTCTCCCCTCAGCCTTTGACCCATGGTTCTCCCAATCTCATTCTCCCAAATAGCTAGGATTACAGGCATGAGATACTCATGCCTCGCCCAAATTAGCTATTCTTAAGGCTAAGGTGGCTCTGATAGTCAGCTAGGGTTAGGGGGAAGCAGAGAAATAATAAATTATATGTGTAATTTTGGTCTTAGATCTTTAACTTAGAACTTTAACTTAGAACTTTAACTTCTACTTGAGAATAAGATGTATGAGTATTGACATAATAAATTAATGAACTGACATTACTTTGCTATTATACCAGTTATTGCCAGTGATACCTTGCTTTTCCAGAATTCAAAAACTGATACATTTCTTACACTTCATTCTTCCTTAATTTCTCACTAAAAATCCCTACTTAGGAACATTCTATTAGGGACTTATGTATATATCCATATATGTGTGTGTGTGTATGTATATGCACACATACATGTATTTTATATACATATAAAAAATATTTCTTTTTTTAAAATTTTGAGACAGGTTCTGGTGTGTAGCTCAGGCTGGCCTCAAACTCCAGATCCTCTTGCCTCAGCCTCCTGAGTGCTGGGATTACACGTGTGTTCTGCCACACCTGGCTTTGAATGCTTTTTGCTTGTTTATTATGTGTAATACTGGTGAACATTTTTGGGCAAGTTTTTATGTGGGTATATGCTTTCAGTTCTTTTAGGCAGGAGTGTAATTGCTGGGTCATGTAGTAACCTATGTTTAACTTTTTGAGGAATCACCAAACTTTTCCAAAGTGGATGTACTACTTTATATTTCTACCAGTAGTGTATGAATGCTTCAGCTTTTCCGCATCCTTGCCAATACTTGTTACTGTCAACTTGAAATTGTAGTGCCTGATTTTATTTTTATGCTTCAGTTATTTTTTAGGTAAGGTCTTGCATTTTTGTTTGGGGTCTGCCTCAGACTGTGATCATCTTACCACAAGTGCCTGCAACCATGCCCAGCTTGTATGACTTTTTAAATTACAGTGGATGTGAAATAATATCTTATTGTGATTTTGATTTGCATTTTTCTGACGGCTAATTAGGTTGAGCATCTTTTTATGTACTTATTAACTATTTGTACATTTTCTTTGGAGAAATATCTATTCAAAAATTAAAAAAAGTTTATATTATTGAGTTATAAGAATTCTTTATATATTCAGGATACCAGTCGCTTACCAGATCTATGACTTGTGACTTAATAGTTCATTGTTTACTTCCTTGCTTCACGTTATCACCATTAGGTTCTTTCTTTTTTTTTTTTTTTTTTTTTGGGTAGTATTAGGGTTTGAACTCAGGGCCTTGAGCTTGGCAGGCAGGTGTTCTACCACTTGAGCCATATTCCCAGCCATTGTTTTTGTTGTTTTGAGATAAGATCTCATTGTGTAGCCCAGTCTGCCCTAGAAGTTGCGATCCTCTTGTCTCAGCCTCCTGAGTGCCAGGATTACAGGTGTGCACCTGGCTTATCAATTTCTTTCTTTTCTTGGACATACTGGGGTCTGAACTCAGGGCCTTATGCTTGCTAGGCAAGTGCTTTACCAGTTGAGTCACATCCTAGCACCTGGCTCATTAATTTCTTAACATCATCAAAATCTTGTTAGACTTTTGTCTTTACTGCCTACACATGTGGGTTTTTTCTCCCCTTTGTGTTAGCTGTTTTTTTTTTGCACTTGGATGCTTTTCCTCTTAACCTATGCCGGTCAAAATTCTTTATGTTCTTTATGATTTATTTCCATGTAGCTTTCCTTTACTGAGTCCATTTCCTTTTTTGTTTTGTTTTGGTTTTTTTGCAGTACTGGGATTTGAACTCAGGGCCTCACGCTTACAAGGGAGGCACTCTACCACTTGAACCAACCCCATCCATTTCCTTTGCTTGGAAATTTCTTAATAATTATGTACAAAACACTGACAACTCTTTAGTAAGAACTGAATTGTGTCCTTAAAGACTTTTAATAGTATTCTGCTTTGTATAAGTCCTTATTGGTCTCTGCAGAGGAAATTCTAATAGTCATTTTACCTTCTCTTTCAGAGAGTGAGGATGCAGTGAGAGAAAGGGGTGCCTGGATGTGGTAGATGGAACCTTGAATGGTTACTAGAGATTACAAGAAGGGACAGGAACCAGAACAGAGGATATTATTTCAGATATGTTGGTCTGTGTTATGAAGCATATGATTGAGTTGTAGAGGTGCAGGAAGCAGGGACAATTTGGGGAGGTAGTATAGGAGGTTTTGCCTTGGCAAAGAGAAAAGCTGTTTTTATTCATTCTACATGTGAATTAAGGGTTAGGGTTAGAGTTCATTCCAGATGGAGTGTGTATTATTGTCTGAACCTGAGATGGGTAGTAGAACTCAGGGTCAAGAGAATAACACTAATGAGGCCTGAAGAGGAGGAGGTAGGGTTACATTGTCAAGGAGTGACTAACTGCTTAGGATCATAGGCCAAAGTGGCAGTGGAACAAGGAGAAACTAGAAGAAAAGAAACACATTTATAGGCAGTTACTGAATAATGAGCATAATTGTAACTTAGCCCTTTTTTTTTTTTAGCTTGCACTTGAGATTTCCTCATACCATCTTAAAACCAATTTTGTTTTTTACATGACTCAAACTGAAGAAAATGGTGGATGTGGGCTGTATTAAAAAGAAAAAAATCAAAGACAGGGTTTATAGTTAAAGTTGGAAATTGGAGTAAAAATCCCTGGATTCTGTTACCTCGTCTAGGTGGCAAGCCTGTTTTCTTATTACTAAAATGGGCACAATAATTTCCTTATTTCTGTTGAAAGATTATTTTATTTGAATGGTATAATTTATGCAAAGGAACTTTGAAAGCTTCAAAATAGTATGTAAATAGTTGTTTTGAATAGGACTTAAGAACAAAACCTATCACTTCAGTAATAGGAGTCAAAAGTTTTTAGAAGCTAGACTTAGGAGGAAATGATTGACTTGAGGGGCTTCCTTGTACCTATTTAACACCTTTTTCTTAACTGTTCGATAGATTTGTAGCAGAAGGTCAAAAAATACTATTCTTTTTTCTGTTTCAGAAGACCTGGACGGGGCTGGAGAAGAATATCCCATGGATATTTGGCTATTGCTGGCCTCCTACATCCGTCCTGAGGACATTGTGAATTTTTCCCTGATTTGTAAGAATGCCTGGACTGTCACTTGTACTGCTGCCTTTTGGACCAGGTTGTACCGAAGGTGCGACCACAGAGGGCTCATTCTGTTTTCTTTGTAGCTGATTTCATTGCTGTTTGTGATTTGGAACTACTCCTAATTGGTGACTTCTTTTTACGTTCTCTACTCTATGGCTGGGTATGACCTAGCTTTGGACCCCTTGACCCTTCTTTAATTTAAATTTGATATTATTGATTCATCCAGGTAATTATTTCGCTGTGGTTGTCACCTTTTCCTTCCAGTATCAACTTTTGGGAAACAGTACTGCTTCGGGTCCCAGAAACAACTGACTTAGACTTTTCTTCAGAGGTTTATCTTAGCTAAAATGATCAAAAGCTACGGTTGCCTATCTGCTTATTTTCCCATTGGATTAGTTGTTGCTTAGATTTTTCTAGTTGTCTGGAAGGACTATATAGTTTTTGTACAAAGTTGTATTGGTAAGAGGTGAGTGAATTATATGATTAATAAAAGGGCTGTCTTTTGATATGGGTGCAGAAATGTAGTGGAGAATTAACTGTAAGGCTGTGGTGGGAATGGATATTGAGGTAGAGGGAGTAGAAAACTTGCTGAGACATCTGACAGGAGACTTTGGTGGTTCTTCTCCAGAGCAGATTCTTTTTGAGTAATTGAAGTATATTATGCTGTTACCAATTTAGAGGCTTGCTTTTTTGTAGAGTGAAACGTGGATTTAAACATTTGAAAAGGGTGGAAGAGTACAGGAATACAAAATGAAGAGGCAGAAGTCACTGAGATGTTAAGGAGATGGTGATTTTTATGTATGTGAGAATTGGGGCAAGCTAACTACTAGCTAGTGGAGTAGGATAGTAAAGTTCATATGGCGACTGGAGTCCTAGGAGACAGAAAGCAGGTGAGACAGGTCACATGTTGGTTGGAGTAATGTGTCATGTTACAGGCACTACACAATAGATGCTTCTCTGCCTTTGCGTCTGCGACCAGAGTCAATGGAGAAACTACGCTGTCTCCGGGCATGTGTGATCCGATCTCTGTATCATATGTATGAACCATTTGCTGCTCGAATCTCCAAGAATCCAGCCATTCCAGAAAGCACTCCCAGCACACTAAAGAATTCCAAAGTAAGCGAGAAAGAGTTAATGTTGGGGTTTGACTGATGAACTTTTGTATGGTGGGCCTGTTCAGTGTGGCTTGTTTTCAGCTTCTTTGTGGTCTCAGGTTGCTAGGGGACTAATGCCAACTTTTAGGGGTCAGAGATTTCATTTCTCTAAGACATTCCCACTGGGCTGAGCTAGCTTATGTTATCTTTACCTCAAAACTTTCTTGTGCTTTTAGTGTATTCCTTATTCTCTTTATTTTAACTTTTTTCATGGATTATACATTGGACCACTTTAAGATATAATGATTTTGAGCTAGGAAGAGTATAACTCAAATGGTAGGTGTATACTATTATTTTTAAAAGGTCCTTGAATAACGTTACAAAGATGTAGCATGAGCAGCTCACCAATTTTCTCTTTCGAATGAACCTTGACACCTGAGATTCCCCTTTATTCTTAAAGGATTCTGAGGTAGACTTAAAATTGCTAAGTGCCTTGTGCCAGGCTTTTGCCAGGCTCTGTTAGGTTGTCTTAGAGACTTGTAGGGTATTCTGATTCATAGGTCTTAGGGCTCTAAAATTCTTCCTGTGTTTTAGGCTATTTTTATCTCAGAATTCTCTTAGTATTTTATATTCATACATTATATTCAAGTTTCTGAAATTCTTCTGATTAGTAAATAGGCCTACTAGTCTTTGGTCCGCTCTCTCCTTTTCTCCTCCCTGATGAAAAACCTAGAGAAATCACTTTTGCCAACCTAGATGAGTATAGTAGATATTATTTAGGCAAGCTGGTATCTTAGCCCTTTTCTCATTTAACTAATATCATTGTATAAATTTCATATCTTTTGAATTTGTAGGTAATTTTTATTACATTGTTCCCACCTAAAATCTATAGTACCTAAGTTCTATAGTACTTCCTTTTCTCTGATACTTTGTCTTTATGGCCATGACTATTATACAATGATTCTTCACTAGTTTAGCTCCAGGGTAATAATATTACCCTGTCATATGTGTCTACCTGACACATGTGAATTAAAAGTGTACTATTGATTTCAAGATAATCAGGGTTCCCTGCTAGACTTGCAAACTGTGGTGGTCAGGGCCATTGGCTGAGCTCACCTTAATATTGTGCTAGCTGATGGATTTTGGGCAGGACTAAGTAACATGCTGTGCAAGTACAGTTCACCTAGCAGCTGCTTCTGCTTGTAATATGAGCAGGCAGTGTATTGTCTCACATTTACAGTGTTCCTCCCCCAGAAGCATTTGATAGTATCAGACTAATTATGGGAAGGGTGGAGCTCAACCATGCCAGGTGTGAATCAAGTGTTGGGAGCAGAGCAGTATTGGGCAAACTTCTCATGCTTTACACATCTTAGCGGCTCCAGTGCGCAATGCAAGGGCTACTGCTTAAATTCTAAAAGACCTGTATCTTCATATCCTTGCCACTATATATTAATTTTTTTAAAAGTAGAGTGTGAAAAGCCAAAGTTGAGCGAAAATTAAGATCTTAATTCAGGTAGTAAGCCCAAGCCATCTGGCTGCTTCTTTATGCCTTGTGAGATACCTGAAGAGGGTATGGGACCTGCAGTAGCAGATGTCCTATGCATGGCCTCACCACTTGTATGCCTACAATCGCATGGCATTCAGGTAGTTGCCAGCATGCCTAAAGAAAGTTGTCCTATGTTCCTGGACTCCACCTTTTCGTATTTGATTCCCCCTCTCTCTCTTTTCAGTAGCATAGCTTGTGTGGGACACTGGAGCCGTTGTGATGGCAGCAGAATTGTTTTCCCCTTAAAGCCAAGCCCATTATTTTTGATGGAACAGCAGGACGTACAGGGCATGTCTGAAGGGCAGGACAGCTGGCACGGCGGACGACCCACCCCTTATCCCCTGGGAGGTACTTCACTTCTTGTGCTTAACCCTAGCTATAGCCTGACTTTCATTAGGGACTTGCTTCAAACTGAATTCAGCCCAGCTCTGGTTTTCACACTGGCTATGTGTTCCCACAAGGTCTTGAAAGGCTCGCTCCTATTATAAGGCCAGCCCTCTCTGCCTGCCTTATGGCCTTGTTATCATCTTGCCTGGTGGCTATGGGGTACCCTTATATTTTAATGTAGAGCAGAGGCCTTCTGAGTGAGAGAAAATGCCCCAGTCTCTAGATACCATGTTTCTGTCTTTAAAGATGAGAACAATAGGTGTTGATCTCAGTAGCCTCCGAGGTTGACTTATATTGGTCCCTCTTATTCCTGAACAGCTCTGGGATTGTCTTCATATTGCACCAGTGTCAAGTTGTGGGTCTTTATGTGCCAAGGTATAATCCTATCATTGGGATTATGGTTGACTTTAGAGCTGTCAAAAAAGATTTTTTTGCTAATTATTTTTTGTTAACCTTACAGTGTATTTTGATGTTTTTTTCTCCCTTATTTTATTTTTATTTATTTTTACAGTGCTTACTTTTCTGGTGCAGAAAGATTGTTGGGAATAGACAGGAGCCAATGTGGGAGTTCAACTTTAAGTTTAAGAAACAGGTAGGTGGTCTTTCTTATTTTCTCTTTGTGTTTCAGGTCATACCTTTTTTTGGATGTGGGGTTGGTGGTACTGGTTTGATTGAACTTTGGGCTTTGTACTTCTAGACAGGTGCTCTGCCACTTGACTCGTGCCTCTAGCCCTCAGGTAATGTACTTGTCTTGGTCCATTTGTGCTGCTATAACAAAGTACCATAGATGGGGTAATTTATTATGAGCAAAAATTAATTTCCTCACAGTTCTAGAGACTGGGAGATCCAAGATCAAGGCACCTGCGTGTTCTTTTTCTGGTGAGGTCTTGGTCTCTCTGCTTCTAATCTGGTGCCTTACTGCACCCTAGAGGGGAGGAATGCTGGGTCCTCAAATAGCAGAGGGTGGAAGGCCAAAAGGGGCTAAACCCACTTTGAAGCCTCTTTTCTAAGAATCTTAATCCCAGTCCTAAGGGAGGAGCCCTCATGACTGAATCACCCCCAAAGACCCCAAAATGAATTTTGGAGGGGGCATTAGCATTCAAACCCTAACAGCAAGCATGAATGACGTACTAAGAATCAAAACTTATAATAATGAAAAGTAACAAAAATCTTTTATATTGAAAGACAAAGGTAACAGCCCAATACAAAGAGTAAACTTTGGGTGGGTCCTGGATCAGAACAAAGAGCTGTAGAAGACATGTTGGCAGTTGAGGAAAACTGCTGTGGCTTTCAGATAATATGAAGCTATTGCTAATTCTCATTCATTCTCTCTCTCTCTCTCTCTCTCTCTCTCTCTCTCTCCCTTTTATTTCATCTGGATTCCCAACCTATTGGGTGGTGCTGCCCACAGTCAGAGCACTTCTTCCCCACTTAGTTAATCTTCTGTGGAAACTCCCTCACAGACACACATGCAGAGGTGTGCTTTACTAACTCCCAGTCCCTTCTCAATCCAGTCAAGTTGGCAATTCAGATTAAGCACTCCAGGTAGGGCTTGGTGACTCAGACCTGTAATCCTAGCTACTCAGGAGACAGAAATTGGGAGGATCATGGTTTGAGACCAGCTGGGGCAAAAGTTTTTGAGACTCCATCTCAAACAGTAAGACCTAGGTGTGATGGTGTGTGCCTGTCATCCCAGGTATGTGGGCAGATGGTCTGGGCATAAATGTTAGATCCTATTTTTAAAATACCTGAATCCAAAAGGGATGGGGATTTGGTTCAAGTGGCAGAGCACCTACTTAGCAAGTACAAGGTCTTTCCTTTTTTTTTTTTTTTTTGTCAGTACTGGGGTTTGAGCTCAAAGCCTGACACTTGCTAAGTAGGGTGCTCTACTGCTTGAGCCACTCTTCCAGCCCAAGTACAAGGTCTTGCTTCCTCTACTCCCCTCCAAAAAAGATTATAAACATCCTTGTTAATTTGACACCCAAATACATCTTTTTTAACTGTAACATTCCCTCCTGGCCCCAAAAGCTCATCCATCTCATAATGCCAAAAGCATCAGTCTCTACAGTCTTAACAGTTCCAACATTGTTCAAAAGCCTAAGTTCAAAGTCTCTGAAATGCAGGGCAAGCTCTTAGCTATGAACCCCTGTAAACTAAAAAACCATTATGAACTTCCAGTGTACAATGGCACAGAATAAACATTTCCATTTCAAAAGGGAGGAATGGGGCCAAAGCAAGACTGAAATCCAGCAGAAAAAACATTAAATCCTGTAGATTTCTGTTCTGCATTTAGGGCACACAGCATGTCATGGGCCCCAGAGGTGTTGGGCAGTTCTGCTCCTATGGTCTTGCCATTTGTAGCCCATATGACCTTTCTCTTGGACTGACCCCTGCTTGCTGTCTACAGCTTCCCTGGGCAGATGTTCCTGGCGGCTCCAGCTTCCTGTAGTCTCCATTGCAACTTAGGCTTCACCCTCACATTGCCCTTTCAGAGGCTGCCTATAGGGATCTTGACCCTGCCCATGTATTACCTGGCCTTCCAGGATTGCCTTTGAAATTTGGGTGGAAGCCTCCATAAACCAGAACTCTTGCATCCTGTATGCTTGCAAAACTAGCATCATGGGGTCAATGCCAAAATCTGTTGTCAACTCAAGCAGTAATTGGACCCATTTGGACCATGCTTCTGAATGTCTGGGTGGCTGAGTCTGGCGAAATGTGTCCTGGGGAATGAGCTTCCTAGGCAGCTGTGGGTGAGCAGAGTACCTTGGTAGTGCTCTTTTCTCAAGGGGAAGTCTTAAATACATTTACACTTAGGTCTGCCCTGAGTAGGGTCTTGTTGATTCCTGAAATGCCCTCAAGGCATTTTTCCTAAGTATTTGGCTTCTTTTTAATGGTCCTAATCTCTTCAATCACCACACCTTCCTTCTCTACAACTTTAAAAGCACTCCTCTTCTGGCCAAACCACAGCCCCACTGCTTTTTTCTCTCTATTCTTACCATAAAACTGGCTAAAAGCAGCCATTGGTAACTATGCCATAGCCTGAATGAAGGGCTGTGTTTTGAAATTTCCTCTATTAGGTAGGTAGTCTATCATCTTTAAATTCAGCCTAACACAAAGCCTCAGGGTAGGGAAATAATGTAGGGCCTTTTTTTTTTTTTGGTGCCAGAATGTAATGTATAGTCTCTAGGCCAATTCCCAATAGAGTCCCTGTTCCCATCTGAAATCTTGTGAGCATAGTCTTAACTGTCCTCATTCCTGTCTGGCATTTTGGTCTTCTGCTCTCACCAGAATTACCCACCAAGCTGAGTTTATAGAATTCTAAGACTTTTCTAGTGCACATCTCCAAACTTTTCCAAATTCTTCCCACAAACCAGTTCCAAAGGGTTCTGGGGTTCTGAACCGTGTTTTCCAGTAGTCACAGCAGTGACCCTTCTTTTGGTACCAGTTTGCTGTATTAATCAGCTTTTTATTTCTACTTGTGACCAAATACCTCACATTAAACACCTTAAGGGAGGAATTTTTTTTTTTTTTTGGCTCAGTTTCAGTCTATCATGGCAGGGAGGGTGTGTGTGGCAGAACAGAGCAGCTCACATCATGGCCAGGAAGCAGAGAGAGAATGCCTGTGCTCACAGATTTCTTCTTTCTTCCCCTTTTATTCATTCTATCTGGGCTCTCAGCCTGTTGAGCAGTACCACCTGCATTCAAGGCAGTTTCCCCCTTAGTTAAATCTCTGGAAATACCCTCACCAACACACCCAGAGGGGTGCTTTATTCCTAGTCCCTTCTCAATTCAAGACAAGATTATCATCACAAATGTATTTGCAGATAACAGTAATTTTTGTTTTTACATCTGAGGTGATTTGGGAGAAGATGACCAAAGAATTTCTAAGAGAAGTAGATACTAGTCCATTCTGACTCTGCCTTTTGCTCTTGGATGTGCCTGAGATGTTGGCCACAGTGAAGAGCTGTTTTGCCTATCTTCTTATCCTCTAGTCTTTTCCCCCCATCCCCTTTACTTAGTAGCCTACAGATGATACATATACAATTAGTTATCTCTCATTTGATGGCATGTGGATTATAGATAAATTTTTAAGTAAATCATAATTTCCTATTGATTATTTAAATAACATTCTGGGGAAGAAATTTGGCTTCTGTGTGTTACATTTAGTAAGATGCTCACAATCTGATATCTATTAGACATTGGTAGAAAGTCCACCATAGAGTCTTTCTGGGAAAGGACTGAGGGGTGGTCTTAGCAGTGGAGAGATGTGATTTAGAAGCAGATACCAGAATTACTGAAGGAAAGTGAATGTTGAGATTCCCTTTAGTTCTGACACTTGTAAATCCTTTGTTTTATGGTACCCAGGATTAGGAGGTCACTTCTGCTTCCATCCCTTCTGTAACACAGATATTTTTTGGAGGCTAATAAGTCACCAGGAATTTGCAGTCTTTCAAATATTGAAGAACAGTTAAGCCGGGTGCCAGTGGCTCACACCTGTAATCCTAGCTTCTCAGGAGGCAGAGATCAGGAGGATTACAGTTCGAAGCCAGGCCGGGCAAATAGTTTGTGAGACCCTATCTGTAAAAATCCTTCACAAAAATAGGGCTGGTGGAGTGGCTCAAGGCAAAGGCCCTGAGTTCAAACCCCAGTACCTCCCAGCCCCCCCCCAAAAAAACCAACCCATTTAATAAACGCTGTAAGTTTCCATTTTTTGTCATGTAACATAAACCTATCCTCCAACTATTTTACCTTTTAAAGGGCACTTTTCTTTCATCTCTGCATAGAAAGCAATGTGCAGTAGTACTTTATAATCATGTCCCCAACCTGAAACCAATATGTATATAAAGAAGAGAGAAAGAAAAGTATATCTCCTTAGTTTTAGTTGACCTGTTGGATTTTCAAGCAGTCTTAAAGACACAAATATTTCTTCTAGGCCATTCGATTAATTCTTAGTTCTCTTTAGCCTCCTAGATTAAAGAGCAAGTGTGTGGAACGATTGCAGCCTCCTATTCAGTATGAAGATGTTCATACCAACCCAGACCAGGACTGCTGCCTACTGCAGGTTACCACCCTCAATTTCATCTTCATTCCAATTGTCATGGGAATGATATTTACCTTGGTAAGTGGGGCCTCAAGGTGTCACTCAAGGTGTCATCCATAGTTCTTTTTAAGCTGCATTTTTGAATTGAGATTTATAAATTTAATCATTGAAGAAATCTCTGAAGAATAATAAAGTCTGAACTCAGAGTTGTATATTAGCAACAGACTGATTTGGGGAGAAGTTAATTATATCAGAATATTTTGCATCTGTTTCCTTCTGTAGGAAAAGAGGAATGTTTTTTGCATCTTCATGTGTGTGCAGTGATCATTAATGATAGAAAAGCATTCTTTTTTTTTTTTTGGAGGTACTGGGGTGTGAACTCAGGGCTTCACACTGATGCTCTTCTGCCTGAGCCTCCAGCCCTTTTTTCTCTGGTTATTTTTTGGAGCAAAGATCTCACTTTTTGCTCAGGCTGGCCTGGGCTGTGATTCTTCTATTTTATGCTTCCTGCCATACCTGGGATAACAGATGCTTGCCACCATACCCAGCTATTTTCTGTTGAGATGGGAATCTTGCAAACTTTTTTGCCTGGGCTGACCTTAAACTGCAATCCTCCTGATCTCAGTCTCCTAAGTATCTAGGATTATAGGCATGAGCCACCAGTGCCTGGCTGATAAGTTATCCTGAAAGGAAAAATGGTGAAACTTACACATGAGCACTGTGTATCAGAACCTTGAGGCATGCATGAGGTGTTATGAATAGAGTATTAAAATATAGGGGACCAGCTCTGTCCTTTGTGTGATGCTCTGACAATTCAAGGCTTGACTAAGAATTAATAAATAATGCATGTGCCTGTGGGTTTTTTTTTCCCCCATGTTTAAGAAAGTTTAATTGGATTGGCAAACTTGAAAGTTGACATTATTTGTGTTCTCTGCATCTTAGGCTTATATTCAGAGAATATGTGGCTTTCCCTCCACAATGAAAATAGCTTTAAAGCATTAAAATAATACATAAATATATTGAGAAAATAAAAGTCCTTTTTACTGCCACTGTCCTATAATTGCAGTTCACCTTCTAGGGACTGTTTTTTAATGAGTCTATTTATATGTTCATGTATACATTCTAGCAAGTAGTTCTGTATAATTGAGATTCTGTCTTATGTTAAAACCCTCCAGGTTTTATACTCTGTAGGGACCTAGTTTTATACTCTATAGGGACCTACATATATGTATTTGACTTATTTCACCAAAAGAAAATGGGATAAAGTTTGTGTTCCATGTGTTTAACGGTATCTTGTTAAAAAAATCACTTCAAGTCATCTTTTATAGCTCTAACCCAGTTATAAAAAATTGGCCTTGATGGTAGTCTGTGTGCGTATATCTTAATTTATTCATCCATTTGTGAGGCTTTAATTAGTGTAGTTTAAATATATGAAGCTGAGAAGATCTTATAAAATCACCCTTAATTTTTGTATCTTTACAAAAGTGTTGGTCGTACAGCGTAATGGTAGCTTTGTGACCTAGCCAGTGTAAATTATGTCTAGACTCAACCTAGGAAACCAAGGTTGAGTTGAGCACTAAATTTGCCTTTCCTTTCTAGTTTACTGTTAATGTGAGCACGGATATGAGGCACCATCGGGTGAGACTGGTGTTCCAAGATTCTCCTGTCCGTGGAGGTTTGAAGCTGCGCAGTGAACAGGGCGTGCAAGTCATCCTGGATCCAGTGCACAGCGTTCGACTCTTTGACTGGTGGCATCCGCAGTATCCGTTCTCCCTGAGAGCATAGTTACTGCTTCCTTTCCCTTGGGGCAGCTCTGAGTCTAGTCCATTAGTAATCAGATTCCAGTTTGGAAGGGGCAGCTGGATTGTATATCTGATTAGTAATGCATATGTTCTTTGGGTTCCTAGGGTTTCTATTACAGGAGGGAGGAGGGTTGAATCAAGAAGAAAAACAACTATGATTTATAAACATTTTAATGTAAAAATTTGCATTTGAAAGGACAGACCTGGCCCTGTTTTCTGTGTTAAAACCCCACTTGGTGCTATTGAGTTTGTTCTTTATTCTTTTATTCCAGTGAAAATAGATGATCTTGCTCTAGGGAAAAATTAAACTCTTAAATCTTTAAGCAAGGAAGATTTCCCTTATGGATCAAAGTAACCCAGAGGCCTAAAAGTGTTGTTACTATTGCTTTCAATGAGGCTGCCCCTCAGATTTGAGTGAAAATTTTCTCTTTTCCCTTTACCCTTCTCCAATTTAAATAAAGTAGGTAACAGGGTTTTCAGAATCTTATCTAAGATTGACTGTGTATCTTTTTTTAAAGTAATTTTTTTATATTTATTGCATAAATACTGTTTTGCCAATTTTGTATTGTAGGGTTTTTTTTTTTTTTTTCCTTCATGAGGCCAATAGTGACAATAGTGATTTGGTACTTTACATAGTATCTCTAATCCTTAACGGTCTTGCAAGGTAGATGAAACTATTCCCATTTTATGGTTGAGATACTGAATTAGTGACTTATCCAGGGCCTTAACAGCCAGTTAATGAATAGGTAGGATTCCGACCCAAGTGTTTTTTGCTGTACCACAGCTTAAAAGGCCATACTTAGTTTTCTTGTGGTAGGCACGGCATAATAGATAAAAAAGTAAAAGGATGAGTTGAAGTTTGATTATGATATACTTAATTCCTGATCCACCTACAAAGTATATGAGATTGATGAATCTGTGTAAGTGCGTTTTTTTCAAGTAAAATGTAAAACAAAGGAAGAAAGTTATTTCAGGAAGGATAGTTGCATTTTCATTAAATCCTTAGAAAGGCATTTATTATGCTAAAAGGTCATTTAAAAAAGTGCATTGCATGTTGAAACCAGTCTCTGGAATCATAAAGCACTTAGTGACTTTGCTCTTCTCTGCCCTGCACTCTGCTGCCTCTGCTATCCTGTGTGTCAGCCGAAGAACCTTGCCTTATGTCCCTGCAGAAATACTAATGTCCTCTTGTTGGTCAGGTACTTGCTATACATGGTATGGTCTAAGAAGAGGATCATGGGTGTTTTTGTTTTGCTAAGAAGATAATCTTGCTGCTTACCTCCTCCTATCTCCAAATTGTCAGGAAATGGGCATTAAGACAATATATATATATTTTTAATTCCCTGAGACAGGGTCTCAGTATGTAGTGCATGCTGGCCTCCAACTTGGGATCCTCCTGCCTGCCTCCCAAGTGCCAGGATTACAGGGTGTATGCCCCCAAGCCCAGCTAAGACAATGTTCTTTAAACATGAAAATCTTGTGGGGGCAGGTATTACTGTGAGCCAGAAGTGCTAAATTACCATGTTAGTTTTTCCTCCCCATCCTCCCCATCCTGTGCTATTTAAGGAACATTCTTAGGAAGGATCTGTTTAATACTGCTGCTTACAGCTAGCCTTCCCCCATATTGAGGCTGGGACTAAAGCTGTTCACAAATAAAGTTAGCCTGGGTAAGTGAAAAACAGAATTCGGGTATCTAAGTGACAAAAGCAAACAAAAAACCTGACATAACACTTCACAGATCTCTATAATCAAAAGTTGCCTCTTTTGAGGTGGAAGGAAAAAAAAAACAGTGGTTCCTAGTTTCTGAACAAATGATGCCACAGAGCAGGAGGAACTTGTCTATGTGGATTGTATGTCCCTTGTTTAGGATTTACCTTAAAAAATGGGGTGAAATAAATGTGGCTTAATAATTGTGTTCTGACTCAACTTCCAAATTTTTATATCAAACTCCATGGAATGATGATGGATACAATATTGGTAAATGGGTCCTCATGGCTTCAGCTTTCCTTTGCATTGGCTCAGTTGCCTTTTCTATGATGATTCATGTATTGTTAGTGAAAGGACATGATGGGTCTCAGGATTTCCTTTTGGTAAGAACTCCAGACCACCTAGAGAAGAATTGGAAGTTTCTAGACTGCGGGTTAAAAACTACATAATTTTCACTTCTTTAAATAAAACGTAATATATATTTTTATGTGATTTTGTTCAGAGAGCCAAATAATACAAATTTAGCTTTAGCTACATATACCCTCGAATCACTCAGATTTCCTTGTCTTCCAAAAATGCAAGGAAACTTGTCCCAATGGCAAGTATTTTGGAAAATGATAAACGAAAGGTTCTCTATCCGTGATCTCAACTACAGCTTTGCTGCTGTGGTACAGGGCGTGTGTGGATGTGTAAGTGCAGATGTACACGCTGCACGCATATGAACATTCACACTTGCAGCAGCGCTCACCGGGCACTTGTAACGGGTTGAGTTGGCACTTCGATGAAACTTCACAAACCAGGTGGGAGAGAGACATTAATAGCCCCTGGGGACAGGAAAATGGAGAGCTTTGAGCTAAAATGTTTCAGAAATTTTGGCATTTGAGGCTGTTTTCATACTATAGGCAAACGCTTTCATAATAGGCAAACGCTTCATTTTATCGTAGCAGTGTTAGGACAGATGCCTGAAGGCAAGTGACAATTGGCTGACACATTAAGGAATGTATCTGCGTTTCAAGCTCCTTAACGAATTGGTGGGAGACAGCAGGTGTGCAGGGTGGCAAACCACTGGTCAATTTAGGAAACAGGTGGTTAGGCTAGGGACAGGCTAAGTTCAAAGGGAGGAGCAGGATGTGCCCTGCACTCCCGGCCTTGAGACCTTACTCCTGCCGGGTAACGGCCTGGCGCCCATCCGCCTCGCCGCTCCTCTGAGGGACCAACCAAGATGGCGCTCTACATCAAAGCGGCGGTGTGGTCACGTGCTGGGGCCGAGGCGCGCCCGGGCGGGGGGCGTGGCCTCGGGAGAGGTAGCCGGGCCCCGCCCTTGGGGGTGGGGCCAGGGATATCCGCGGAGGAGGGGGGCGGGGCCTCGAGGCAGGGCACTAGGGCGGCGGAGGCTGCAGCTACCTCGGCGCGCTTCGCTGCCCAGGACGTGTGGTGCTGCCCGGGTCGGGGGCGGCTCCCTGCTGCCTCGGAGCCGAGCTGCCCGCTGCTGCTGGGCCTTCGGCAATTCAGGCAGGTGAGCGCTCAGAGCCCGGGCTGGGGGGAAGGATGCCTCTTTAATCAGCTCCAGCGCCTCTCCACAGTTTGGGGAGGGGTCTCTAGCGCGCTTTGGGAGAACGACCACTCTTACTCTGGAGTGAGTCGAGAATGCCCTCTCCGCCGCCCCTCGCCCGCCTTTGCGGTGGCCTGTGCCCTTGGGGATGCGAGTGGGGGGTGATGCCGGATTTGCAGGGAGGGCGTGGAGTTCGTCCTCAGCAACATCGGCTTCCAGGGAGGGGCTGAGTTGGCTGTCTCCTGGTGGGAACCAGATGCACTGTGCCCCCAGATCTTCTCCAGGAGAGTCAGAGAAGAAGCGCCTCGGCTCGTGGGCCAACTCTGCTTCTCTGGACAAGCGCCTCTGAGGGGCTTAGGTCTTCGTGCTTCCCGAGGGGTCTTAATCCTTCCCATGTGCCTCATTACACCCCCTGTTACTATCGCCAGCTCTCCATTCCTGGAACTGCCAGTCTCAGGTCGTGCCAGAGATGCCTCCATCTCCGCAGTGCCAAGGCGGTGGAGTGGAAGGAGCGGCCAACCGGAGGCCTAGTGGGGGTGGGGATGAGGTGGGCGCAACAGGAAAAGACAGTCGAAAGAGATTCCTGAACTGGGGGGTTGTGGGAGTGGGGAGCTGACTTTTGTCCATGCAGTAGGGGCGTTTTCCAGTACGATGTTGAGGTTTTGATGATGGGTGGAAAGAGAGAAGTTGGACTGGAGGGCTTGGAAACATGGTGTGGGTGGTTTTCTTTGAGAAGGAAGACGTATCCAGGACAAAGTATACTCATGGCTGATGTCACCTTTGAAGAGTGTTCATTAGAGGGCAGGGGAGTTGAGGCTGCTGTGCAGTTCTTCCAGGGTAGCAAGTGGTTAAGGAAGAGGCTTTGGTTAGCATAGTGATCATTTCCTGGTGTGACTTTAATGGGCCCTCTAGGAGCCAAGTTTCAGTCCTTGTTGGAATGGTGCTTAGTACTTTGTTCAGTGTTCACTAAGATTTATTGGGCACCTACTGTATGCCAGACATCATGCTAGACACTTGGTCTTCTGAGGCTAATCCAGGGCCATGGAGCAGCTGAAAGGTACCCATATAGTAACACTCTCCTCCTCCTAAGCACAGTTCAGGTACTTGCCTATTGGATTAGGAAAAGAAAGACAGAGTCTTAACTGGATAGCAATCCATGCAGTCCCTAACATTATTAACTGGTTAGGTAGTCCCAGGGTAGCCACCTGACCAAAACAGACAGCTTGAATAATTTCCTTTGGTTAGGTTCTCAGATTTTGTACTGAGGCCTGAGGAGGCTTTAGGATAAATGGTATCACAGTGGTTATTAGGGGCTAGGAATGCACTAGACACTTTGCACGGGGAGACCCATCTCTGAAAGGTGGAAGGGCATGGTGGTGTTTGGTGTGTGCTGCTGAGCGTGTCATGATGTTAAAATGTATGAAGTCTGGCGCTGGGTTGTAAAGGAAGGCTTTGAGGGGTGGGGCAGGGTAGCCAGGCAGACTCCTGGGTCCTTTCTCTGAGTTCACTACTGAAACCTTAGAGTTGGAAAGAGTTTTCAGGGGTTGCTGTGGGGCCTTTCTGAGCTTCTGAGGATAGCAGGACTACAACTGGGAGAAGATGAGTAGTTGGGCCAATGTGGCAATGAGGCAGGGTGAAGGCTCAGGAGGGCCAGGTGCCAAGGGAGCTTTACGATATGGAGGAGTTAGTGAAGGCCTTGTGCCAGGGCTACTCTCCTCTGGGCCTTAGGCTCTAATGTGTTGAGTTGGTAGAGGAGTTGCTGTATAATGAGGTGGGCTGTGTTGACAGAGTGGTCTTAGAGTTGCGTGTGGGTATGCATGCATGAGTGTGCATGTCTCTGTATGTACATGTGTATGCATGTATGAGTGTGTGTGTGTGTGTGTGTGCTGGAAAGAAAGAGTAGTGAGGAGCAGGGAGGACTGAGGGAATGACAGCTGCCTCAGAGTCTGGGTCCCAGGTAGGGAATTGGGAGAAATGGAGGGGAAGGTTTGGGGTCAGAGGGAGGGACAAGTGTGTTTTGCAGCCACATGAAGTCACCATCTGTCCCCTCTCTGGCCTGCTAGCTCACTGACCTATAATTAGCTCTGGAGGGCATACGGTGTTGGCTCACAGAAGCATGGCACTTCGGGTGGCCAGCATAGTAAAGAGTACTCAGAGGGGCTCTGGTCCTGTGCTTAAGGACTTTATGAACAGAACCATGGCCGCTCTGCATACTCCACTCTGAGAGGGGCTGC